TCCATCTCACCGTTCTTCTGCCTAAAACTCCCCAGGACTCCCTCCTCCTCCTCCTCCTCCTCCTCCTCCTCCTCCTCCTCCTCCTCCTCCTCCTCTTCCTCCTCCTCCTCCTCCTCCTCCTCCTCCTCCTCCTCCTCACAGCATGTTTAACTAACCATCCGACCCAGTCTGGTCTCCAGTGCCAGCCTCTGCCACTGTTGGTGGCCAAGCTTCACCATCTCTGAGAAAAATGTCTATAGATTTCTGCTTCTAGATCTAGTCATCTGCCTACAACATCGTTCCCCCTAACCTGCCTGACTTTTCTCTTTACATGCTTGTTAGGTAATGTTTTAATAATATCGCTTTCCAGGTACCTCCTCTTTGGTTCTGTAAATCTGTGTGTGTTCATGCGTGTCTGTGCTCATAAGAAACACATTTTTATAAACCACTGAGACATGTTGCCCCATCTTTAAACAGTTTAGAATGAACTTCCCAATAACAAGAATATTTTTATGTAATTCATACAATCACTGAAAATAACTAAAGTCAGATGATTAGCATTATTAAGTCACTACACTACTTAATCTGCATTTTGTTTTCAAATTTTATCCATTTTCTAATAATGGTTATATTTTGCTTAATGCATGGAAGCATTTTTTATTTCTACTGGATTTGTTTTGATTTTATTGTTTGTTGTTGTTGGGACACAGTCTTTGAACTCTAAACCCTCCTCATGTCTCATCCTTCGTGCTAGAATTTAGTTGGGACGCCATGCCCTGTTTCTTATGACTCATATCTCCCACCCCCAGCCCAGAGTACATCAAAAGTCATATTCTATTTAACATCCTTCCCTCACAAGCAATTCCAAGCCTTTTTTTAAATCTGTGATACTTGAAAAGTACAGGCTCATAAATTTGTGAACAAACCCCTAATTTGAGGGGTTTTAAAAAATAATGTTTCTAACTCATAAGTGATATCATGTTCTCTTTATATCATAACAGAAAGGTACAAGGTATCAAAATTTCCCAATATTATTATCCTTTAAAATTAAGAAACTATACTATCCAATTTGTTATCAAACTTTCCTTCATTAATTTGCCACCCCTTTCCTGTCTGCCCATCACCACCACCAAACCCCACAATGCTGAGGATTAAATACCTTCATGTATACAAAGCAAATAGCCTCCAAATGAACAACATTCCCTAGTTCTCATCCTTTTACTTTTCTGGAAGCTTATTGTACTTCTTTCTTCACATGGTTCTAGGAATTGAGTCTAGGGCCTTAAAGGTGTTAAGCAAGCCTCTATCACTAAGCTGCATTCCTCTTTGAATTGAATCCCTGCTTTCAACTTTTGTTGTGTGGCTGACCCTCACTAAGTTGCCTGGGCTGACCTTGAACCTATTCTTTAGTCCAGGTTAGACCTTGAAATTGGGGTCCTCTCCCTTCAGTCTCTTGAGTAGCTAGGATTATGGTTCTGTACTACCAGGCCTAGCCTGTTGTGAAAAATAAAACTAAAAATGTGATTATGACACAGAGGTGTTTAAACCTACCCCACAAAAAAAAAAATACCTGCAGCATCTACTTCAGTCCATTATCTTCATTAAAAAGATCTTGCCGCCCAAAAGAGAGGGGTATCTGGTTGTACAGCATTATCCAAGGCAAGATTTAGCATTTGCATTTTCAACTCAGCTCATAAATTACCTTTTCATTTCCTTTGCCTTTGCAATAAAAAGGAACCCATGAAAAGAGCATATCTTTTCATAATGAGAAAAAAGATACACTATATTCTTTCTGACTTACCAAATGTCATAATATTGCTTTTGGTCCCAATATGATGGGCATCTATAATTGCATTTATTTTTTTATGCTTGCTATAAGAGTTTATGTAGTCTCTGAAGAGCTTCCTGCAGCCCTAGGGTCTGAAGATTGAAAAATCATTCAAATTGATTAAAGCCATGAGGAGAATGATGATGAGGGTCAGATCATGTGAACATCAGGAAAGTAAAATATTACCATTTAAACTACAAATGGAACTTTTTTTTCCATAAGTGATCAGATTTACAATAGAAGCCTGGGCTGTTCATTGTAAGATTAATAACAACTGACATTATACTCATGTATTTATTCAAAAGAAAATAATCCTGTGAGCCCAGTAAGTGAAAAAGATCATTATATACAGCCTCTAACTTCACAAAGTATATCACTGAGAGATTTACTTCTAGGACTTCAAACAAAATAGGTCAAGAGGAACCTTAGCTGTGCATTCTATTAAAGAGCCTGGCAGCTAGAAGATCCACAGTACAGCACTATCCCCAACACTTGCTATGACCTTTGCATCACTGGGACCAAAACACCCAACAGAAACAACTTCATCAATGAAGTCTGCTTTTTTGCTTATGCTTTCGGGAAATTCAGTCCACATTTGCTTTGCTCCATGTCCTGTTTCCATGACCAACACCATTTAATAAAAAAGCATTTAATTTGGAGTCCCAGTTCCACAGCAGTAGAGCCCATGTCCATCACGGCAGGGAGCCTGGTGGCAGGCAGGCATGTTTGTGTGATGGGAATGCCTACACCCCATCCACAAACAGAAAGCAGAGGGGTGGGGGAGATTAGGGATGGTGTGGACTTTTGAAACCTCAAAACCCACCCCCGAGTGGCACCTCTTCCAACAAGGCCACACCTCCTAATCCTTTTTAAACAGTTCCATCAACTGGGACCCAAGGGAGCTGTTCTAATGCGCACTACCATACTCCACATGTGTGGGCAGAACATTCTGGTTGATGGGGCACAGTGCCAAAGTTCTTCATCACTTTCTGGTGCATAGGAAGCAGAAGGAGAAGATCACACAGAAGGGGATCAAAGCAAAATACATCCCTACTGGCCTACTTTATCCTACACATAGGTCCCGCTTCCTACTTTCCACCACCCCACGGCAATGTTATGACAGTACAAATTAATCAGGAATTAATTCAATAACTGGGGCCAATCAGAGTCATCAGAGGTACAAACACACCCAGAGGTGTGCTCATATTTATGATGCCAGCAATGGTCATCACAGCCCAGTCATGTCATGCTCAAGTATCTAGGAAAGTATCTTTCTGTCTTATTCTACTTTCCATTGTCATTTTATTGTCATGACTAAAAAGACCAGAGACAGAGAGGGACAGGGAGAGGTATAGGGGGAGGGGAGGAGAGAGATAGAGAGAGAGAGAGAGAGAGAGAGAGAGAGAGAGAGAGAAGGACAGAGAGAGAGAGAGAAAGATCTTATATAACCCACTAGACTGTAAATGAAGCTGCTGTATAGCTGAGAATGACATTGAAATGCTGATTCTCCTGCCTCTATCTCCTAAGTGCTGAGATTACAGATGTGTACCTCCACACCTGGATTATGTATGATAGAACCCAGTGCCTCATGCTTTCTAATCAAGTACTCTGCCAGTTGAGCCACACCCCCAAGTTCCATCCATTTGATGCCCTGCTCTGAAATGGTACAAGGTTAAAATGTTTATATCCAAATACCAAAACAAAGAGCTCTTGCTAATAGAATACATGTGAAAACTGAAGGAGGGAGCTATGAAGTGAGGAGTGAACCAGAAGAGGGTGAATACAGAGAGCATGTAAGAGGGGACCCAATTACAAAAAATCATGATGATGCATATGGATGAAAATTTTTATAATAAAACCTATTATACAATATGCTAACTTTTAAAAAAACAATAGTAAAATATAGGCATCTCTCATTTTGTCTTAAAATATGTCAACATGGTTTCATATTCTGTCCATTTTTCTTTTTTTCCCACTTTTTAAATTTAAATTAGAAACAAACTTGCTTCACATGTCAAACCCAGCTCCCTCTCCCTTCCCTCCTCCCCACCCCCCACCAACCTTCCAACCCCATCCCATCCCCCCCTCTGCTCCCCAGGGAGGATGAGGCCCTCCATGGGGGATCTCCAAAGTCTGCCATATCACCCCTGGCAGAGCCTAGGTCTTCCCCTATGTGTCTAGGCTGAGAGAGCATCCCTCCATGTGGGTGCTGTCCATTTTTCCTCTCAAATTTGTTCCTACATGGGCAGGGTTAAGAATACTTACTATTCTTCTGGAGAACTCATGTTCAACTCCAAGCACCCATGTAAAGGCTAACAACTGTAAGTTCAATTCAGACTCCAGTTCCAGGAAATTCATTGCCTTCTGGAGGTACAAGGCACAAGACATGTAAATGGTACACAGACAGACATGCTGGCAAAAACATCAGACACTTAAATATTTTAATTAAATTAACTATATACGCAAATGGTAGTAGGAATATCTTTGTTCGTTTTTAAAAGCTAATTCATTTTTTAAGATTTATTTTTATTTTATAGGTATGTGTATATGCCTGAATGTATATATGTATGTGTATGTATGCATGTATGTATGTATGTATGTATGCATGTACATACATATACCACATGCATACCTACTACCTACAGAGCCCAAAAGAAGGTATCAGATTCCCTGGAGCTGAATTTGCATGTAATATGAGCTATCTGATATGAGTGCTAAAAACTGAACCCAGGTTCTCTGTAAGAACAAGTGCGCTTAACCACTAAACCATTCCTCCAGCCCCTCTTTCTTCTTTGTATGTGAGCAAGTAGAAGATGAACAACATGAATAGAAAAAAATTACCATTAAGAATGAAGCACAGCTCAAATTTAGCCCTCCAGCATCCCATCCTTGCAGGCCAAACTTTGGCTTTCTATGACTGCATCAACCAGGTCACCAATGCCTGCCACTCCACCACTATCTCCGGCTTTCACAACACTGATCCTTGTGTTAGTTGCAGATCAGATTGTTTTTATTGCTCAATACATCTGACCCTAAAACAGAGGCATTGTAGGGACTGTTTGTGTTTTTCTAAGACTGGACCTTGCCTAGACAAATGAAGAGATGCCACATTGTTTTTCCTCCTTACCATCGTGACTTCACATGTTGATGTTCTACTCATCTCTCCTCACCACAACTTCCTGTGTGTTTTCAGACTGTTGCCACCTGCTTCTGGAAATGACACTCTCCTTGGACTTTTCTTGGCTCCGGTGGAAATGGCGAACCCAAAATGGCTGCCCCCAGTCTCCTTCAGAAAGAACACCACTGCTTTCTCCAGAGATGGGCCAGCAGAGTCACAAACCAACAGAGCAGCGGGTGGTGTACCCCAACAATGGCATGTGTCACCAGGACTGGAAGAAGGTCTCCAGGAGGTACCCAGGCAACAGCATCTGTACAACCAAGTACACTCTGCTCACCTTCCTGCCCCAGAATCTCTTTGAGCAGTTTCATAGGTATGCAGCCAGGTCCCCCAACTCTATGTACCTTAGCCTAGCATTTGCCACTGAGACAAAATGAAAGACACCAGTCTCTAAGCAGCACCCTTTAATGTTCAAACGCATATGTGAAATAAGCTTCTCCCATTGATCAAGTGATGACTTATGTTATGTGTTGAGAGGTAGGAATACATGGGGAAAAAGTAAATACTGGCCTCATTGTACCATCTGGTGACTGAAACACAGGTTAATTTCTAAATGATTAAATTGGTTAAAAACTGTTAGCTAGAAAGAAAACTTGCAAGGAGGGGTATGTAGTGCTTTACAGTGAGGATTTGACCTACTTAACAATGTCAGCAAAGGTTTCCTTGAGGAAGTAGCAATTCAGATATGACTGGATGTAAAGACAGAGACCTAGGTAGATGACTCACAGGGGTATTGGGGGCTAAAGTGTTCACTAAGTCAAATGTGAGGACCAATGTTCAGATCCCCAGCAACCCTCTAAGTGCTAGGCAAGTGTGAGGCTACCTGCCTACCTGCAGTCCAAGTTCTTGGGAGAAAGGGAGCCTGGGGAGTGGCAGAGCAAAACTGTCTAGTTTAGATTAGTAAAAATCAGTGATGTATGGGTTCAAGTAAAAGACTCTGCCTCATTATGTAAAGTGGGGAATGACTGAGGAAGACTTCAAAAGTCATGCATGTATGCATCTGAATGAGCATGTGCACCCACATACATGTGAATGCATTACACATAACACACCCACACAATTTTTTTATTTTAAGACAGGAGTGAAAAGAAAGAAGTGGGGAAAGGGAACCAGGACAATGTTTCTGCTTACATGGTTTCGCGCAAAGGTACTGTGGCAGAAGAAATGGTATTCACTTAAAAACTTTGAAAATATAATGCATTCTTTTCAGACAGTTTGCAAAATCATTATCAATTATAAATCAAAATGCATACTTAAAAATCACACCATCTATTGAGTTTTGTAACTATTATTTATTAGCTATTATGTTTCAGAACCCTTTAGCATACACAAAACCATTTTTATGCTACATAACATTTGTAAGAGCCCTTTGGAGTAAAGTATGATATTATTCTGTCTTTGCACAAGAGAGAACAAACTTAGGCAGGACAATGAACTAGTAAAGCACAGACAAAGGGGATTGTCACCAAGACTGATGACCTGAGTTCAACCCCGAAGACCCACATGCTGAAAGTAGAGAATCCTCACCTGCCAGTTGTCCTCTGACCTCCACATTCACTCCATGGCAAAGGTCACATGTGCACTCATGCCCGCACACAGAGAAAATAAATACATGTGATTTTAAAAATCGATGTAAGAAAACATTTGTGACATTTGCCTTCAAGTCCTTTACTACAGTGTTTGACTTGACACTGAAAGAGATGTTTGACTGGCTAAAACCAATCACTAGGAAGAGGTTGGAAGAGAACATTTTTCTCCTTCAGGTTCACACACACCTTGCTTATTCCTCCAGGTGGGCCAACCTCTACTTCCTGTTCCTAGTGATTCTGAACTGGATGCCCTCCATGGAAGTCTTCCACAGGGAAATCACCATGTTACCATTGGCCACTGTCTTGTTTATCATCATGGTCAAAGACGGCATAGAGGACTTCAAGAGATACCGATTTGATAGAGAGATGAACAGTGCCAGCATTCAGATATATGAGAGGTAAGGGGACTTTACCATTGTTCTCTCTCTTGCAAACAGGGTAAATAAACATCAGCATATTTAAGGGACTGATATTTACTTGCAATATGACCTTTAACTTTAGTGTGTGTGTGTGTGTGTTTGTGTGTGTGTTTATCACAACACACATATGGAGAACAAAATATGACTTGTAGAAATTGGTTCTCCCTTCTAATATGTAGGGTCTGGATATTGAACTTAAGTTATCAGACTTGATGGCAAGCACCCTTACCCACTAAGCTAACCTCATATGTCATTTTTTAAACATTTTAAATTTTTGAAAACTTTTATTTTTTAATATTATAAATTCATCATTTCCCCCTTCCTTTATCTCCCACCAAACCCTTTCATATGACTCCCCTTGATCTTTTTTAAATTCATTGCTTCTTTTCTCATTAATTATTGTTACATGTATATATGCACTCCTAAATATAATCTGCTCAGTCTGTAAAATGTTACTTTAGGTATGTTTTCAGGTCTCACCATTTGGTATTAGAGAATCAATTGGTGTGTTATTCCCTGGAGATGACCATTGTCCCTACTCACAGCATTCCTTAGTTGCCTGTGGTTCTTTGGAGTTGAGGCTTCGTGGACTTTCTCCCATGCATGTTAGCATGTCTGTTGTTGTTATTCAGCTCAAGTTTGGGCAGTCATGTTGGTGAGACTTCATGGGTGTAGTTTTTGCCATCAGTAGGAGACACAGTCCCACAGAAAACTCCCTGTTCCTCTGGCTCTTAACAATCTTCCCATATACTTTTCTCCCAAGTTCCCTGAGCCCTAGTGGAATGAGTGTTTTGTAGATGTATCAGTTGGGACTGGGCATTTGGATTGGTTATACTTCTCTGTGATGCTCTCCAACTGTTGAAAAGAGAAGTTTCCTTGATGACAGAAAGGACTGCACTTAGATGTGGATATAAAGACAAATATTTAGAGTGTAGTTAGGGATTATGCTGGTTTAGTAAAGTGGCAGCTGTAGGTTCTCTTCCAAGATCCATGACTTCACTAGCCCTGGGTACATTTCCAGTAGTGGATATGATTTTGTTTTTGCTGATGGGATTTAGTCCAATGAGAGAGCTATAAGTTACTACCAAGATATGCATGCCACTACTACACTGTAAGGGTTATTTGTGCCATACTTGCCATTGTTATGTTTCAGAGGTATTGTAGTTAGGTAAAATGGTTGGTTGCTTCCCTCCTTTAGAAGCTTGAATGGCACCTCCTGGTATCATGAAAGTTAATCCTCAGCAGCCTTGCAGGTCAATTCAGTTCAAGAACCCCTGGCCTTATGTCTAAAGTGCATGATGTCTTCACCAGTAGGAATTTACCTTCCACCTCTATCTAGCAGTAGCCTGTTATGTTTTCGGACTCTATGACCAACGACTCAAAAGAGGGTTTCCAATGCCTAGTGTTGGGGTTTTTGTTAGATGTATCTTTTTTGACTCTTGGCATTGTCAGCTCAGATAATAAAATTTCATTTGGACTACATATGTATATTTAAACACAGACTTAAGTGTGTGGTAGGGGTTTTCTTAGGTAGATAGTGAAAAGTTTGATTCCTTAGGATTTTTTCAGACATTGTTTTCTTAGTTCAGCAATTCTCACCTAGGGGTAATTTTGGCACACACCTCCTCCCTGCCCCCAACCTGTAGCATATGGTGATAGGTGGGGATAGTTAGTAGACAGGATACTACCAGCATCTAGTCAATGGAAGCTGGGGATGCCAGTACATATCTTAAATACACAGGACTGGAAACACACACACACAAATTATCTAGTCAAAAATAGCAAGGCTGAAGTTGAGAAACCTTGGTGTAGCTCATGGAAACCCTCATATCCTTGGCCATACAGACTTGGTATTATTAAGATAGGGTTAGAAGCCCAAGAATTAGACTCCAAGATGATTAGATCATCACAGGAGACTAATTTCCTAAGAATGTCTTTTAAGTCGCGCGCGCACACACACGTGCACATGCGCACACACACACAGACACGTGTGCTTGTGCCAATTTTAAAGCTGCAGAGTGCCCTGGCTAAAAATTCAGTTTGATACTTAACCTGGTAAGTTTTAGGACCCAGCATTAGTGCACCTGTGTAGGAAGGAAGCCACCTGTGGATGACTTCTACATTCCAACAGGGTGGAGCCTGTACCTGGCAGAAGGAAATTCCTCCTGGACACACACCCATTCTCTGCAAGCGCCTTCCTGATCAGAGTTCTCCCACACTAATTGCAAGCTGGCTTGTTTTCCTTTTCTTCTTATTTTAAACTTTTTTGTATCGGTAGTTTTGAAAGAAGAGACATTTTCAGCACAGGAGGCAAGGAGTAAAAGATGCTAATTAAATTATGAGAATAGACGAGGTGGGCTTAAGCAGAGATGAGGAAGGAAGGGAGGAAAAGGCGGAAAAAGAAAGAAGACAAGAAGAGGGTCGTGGTCTCGAACCTGCCTTTCGAAGGATGGCCCTACAAAGAAAACCCCAACCGCCATTATCGTGGGAACCAAATCAAGACCAGCAAGTACACAGTGCTGTCCTTTATACCCAAGAACATTTTTGAGCAACTGCACCGGTTTGCCAATCTCTATTTTGTGGGCATTGTCATTCTGAATTTCATCCCCGTGGTCAATGCATTCCAGCCAGGGGTGAGCATGGTTCCGGTCTGTGTCATCCTCACTGTCACTGCCATCAAGGATGCTTGGGAAGACTTCCGGAGATACAAATTTGATAAAGTCATCAATAACCGAGAGTCCCTGGTTTATAGCAGGTAAAACTAAGAGGTCTGGGGAGGTTCACTGGTACAGCCTAACTTTCTCTGGCTGCCACTCCTACCAGCAAAAGGGATGGTGGCAGGGGCTCTCATGATTTTATCTCAGTGAAGTGTTTAGTGCCCAGAGTGAAGACTACAGCAGGAAGGATCACACACAAAAGAGGACCAAGGGAGGCTTTTCAAATTAGGAACTCTTCATTTTCTAGTATTTTCTTTGATGAAGTTTCTCTAAATTCTCTTTCCTGATTAGTCCAGTGTTGCTATAGCGTGTTTGACTCTGAACTCTGGAAGAGGAATGCATCACTGTTTCAGTGGAGTAACGAAACTTTGCCTTATACTAGGAGCCTGAGGACAAACCCAGGGTTAAGCGCTGTCTCCAGTCCTAACTATGTGGTGGCCTTAGGGGAGTGATGAAAATGCTCACAGTGTTATGCTGTAATTCCTAAAACAAGAGCAATTCTTGATGTGTTCATAAGACTGACACAAAATAACCCTAGGGAATGAACTCTTAGTGTTAATGTCAGACATGTAAAGATGAGGCACAGTCACTTTAAGAAAGCAAAATTCCTATCTGCTGAGGTATTGACTGCCCCAGGCTCGTTTCTGATATTCCCACAAAACATAGTCTACTCTGGTCTGGTCTGACCACACCGTTTAGTATTGCTTTATACATACAGATATATTGCAAAGTTTCATTGGCCTGATGTCCAAACTGGGCTCTTAGGGACATGTTCTTATTTGGTAAGGGAAAAAGGACAGAATTAAAGGGGTCTCTATTTTGTGACAAACTGTGTGACTCTAAAGGAACTAGGGGAGGTGAGCTCAGGCCTCATGAAAGAAAATAATAGGACACTAGTTGGGTGAACTAGCAGTTAGCCATGAATGCTTGAACTGCTTGCAGATGTAAGGCTTTGTTTCTTATTAAATAGGAAAAGTCTTCATTCTGTCACTCACAGTCAGTCTCTCTCTCTCTCTCTCTCTCTCTCTCTCTCTCTCTCTCTCTCTCTCTCTCTCTCTCTCTCTCTCTCTCTCTCTCCTCCCTATCCCCCCCTTTCCTGGGATCACTCTATTGGCTGACTTATTTCCTCTAAGTTTATCAACTGCATCTGCAGAGGTTTCTCTGTTGCCCTGGTCACCGGCAGAAATGAAAGAGAGTGACTTTCAAAGTATGCCCTCTAGCCGATTAGGATCTGCTAACTGAGAAGTAATGCTCTTCCTTGGGGAATGAAAGCTTAGCTACTGGAACTGGATTATGGAAGGGCTTAGGAGTCAGGTTCCCATAAAAGAAGTTCTCCACCAGGGGAGGCCTCCAGGGAGACTATGACAGACAAAGATCCCCTATGTGAAACTCCACTCTCCCCACTCAGGAGCATCTTGGCTGTCAGGGCCACAATTATGTCTAGAAAAAGAAAAAGTAATAAGAGGGATCTTTTATTCCTTTCCCAGCTAGATCTAATTGCCATGAATGTTGTGAGCACAGTGGTCAGCTGTAGCTGAGATGCAGACAGGCTATCAAAAAAAGAGGAAGAAATAGCTGCCTGGGTGTAAATCCTTCCCTTACAGGAAAAGAATAAACCCTCCCCTTACAGGGAAAGCATTCATTTTCCCCTGGCCCCAACCCACACATCTTGCAATTTGTCACCACCTTTCTCCTTTGTTGTCCATGCATGGTGGCACAAAGACAGGCAGGAAGCTTGTCCCCTGTGGAAGTATAGGAGTCCTGTTCTTCCCTCTCTGCCAGAATATCCCAGAATAATGAACCTCTTCTTGGCACTTATCCTGATGTTGATCAAGGGGCAGGCTCACCTGTGCTGAGAGCCAGAATGCCCAACCTACTGTTCTGTTCTCAAAATAGCTTGAGTAAAACAAGATAATAACTATCTGGAACAGATAATAGTATGATTACCTGTTAAATATATCTGATAGATATGATTACATATGCCTGTAATCTCAGCCCTCGGGAGACTGAGGCAGGAGAATCAGGAGTTGAAGGCCACCTCGCCTGTATAGTTCAACGATAACCTGAGCTACATGAGAATGTATTTCAAAATTAAAAAAAAAATTTAGAAAAAGTTTTGTAAGCCTGACCACCCACTGGCAGGAAGAACAAAAAAGGGGGTTGAGTTGAGTGTTTCTGACGGGGTTTCCAATAGAATAACTGAGAAGGGCGCATTCTTAAGATATCCCATCCCAAAAGAGATGCTGGTTAACAAAGCAAAGG